GTTACTCAACGTAAAAACAAAGAAATTACGGTATTGCTTTTAGAAAAATTATACACTTCACATCATAAGGCGTAATTACGTGGTTCACATATATAATGAAAAAAATGCAAAATTGGATGATTATACTTACAAGGAAGTTTAGTCATTTGTTGTTTTCCTATGACTTTTGTGGCTACAAAAATAGATATAAAAAAGAGACGTATGAATAGAGCGAGATACAAAAAAAAACTAATCAATTGAAACAGATTCACCAAAGATGTTATGGAATAGCAACTAACCTTAGATCTGATTTGTGAATACCAAACTTAAGCTCGCGTTGATTGGAAAAAACGGGTATTACGGATGAAACTACAATTCTAGTTTTTAGATTAAAGAAAAATGGTAAGTGATTGGAAAATTTCGATCGTGAACTTTTGGCTTGTCCACTAATCTTCTTCAGTTTCTTCAATCAAAAAGAGATTAAGAAGAGATGGTGGAGAAGATATTAAGTGGCAAAGGAGAGAAAATTGAGAGGAGGTTGATGGAAATTAGGGAAAAGCCGGTTGATTTTAAAAACAAATCTAGTGATTTTTTTTTCTTAACAAATAAAAAATGTTAGTATTTAACGAAACAAAAATCGTGGAAGAAGTTGTTTTTAAAATATTAAAAACAAATTATATATTTTATTTAGAAAATGAAACAAATATTACGGAGGTTATCTTTTATATACCAAATAAATTAATAATTGTATTTAAAAAGAGGAGGACATATGTCATTCTCACAATTACCGAATGAATTATGCTTAGTAAAGTAGGGATTTCTTAAGATAAATAATACTCAAGTTGGTTGCTGAGTTCGATTCACACTTGCATATACAATAGGTTATTATAAATTAAATATTTTATATGGTAAGATTTATATTATATGGATGTGTGGGTGTGTTTGTAAAAGAGAAATATTATTTATGGGTGTGTGAAAGCGTGTGAGAGATAGTATTTAGAGTGGAGAGTAATTTTAAAAG